AAAGGGGGGGGGTGGAGGAAATTTGAAACTCTTTTCTGCCCAACTGCGCATCTGTAAAGCATTTCTCAATGTTTGTCCTTGACGTAAAAAAATAGTTTTATTGGTTTCAAATTTTTTCTCATTCAATTTTCTCTGAAAGAAAGGAATCGACATAAGGAAAAGGCCTTTTCTCGTCTTTTTCTTCAATTTGCGGATAAAACTTCACACACAGTAGCGCAGTATGATGATTTAGTAGCTAATAAAAGAATGGAGATTATGTTACACTAAAAATAGGGGAGAATAAAGGAGCAATCGACGACACAAGTAGACCTCAGCTCATAAACCTAAGCGGGATTACAACCAGGCAGTCATGGTTGTCTCCAAAGAAAACAACTTACATTGATACTTTTCATCCAGAGTAGCGTTGACAAGCAAGAATATTGTCACTTTAAAGGAAAGCACTCGAATTGTCCCATTGCGAGCGCTACAATATGAGACATTGTGAAGTGAGGGCTATCATCAAACGCTGCCCTAGACGAAATTTAAGTGTCTGGCTAGGGTTTTGGTTGCGTCGGTGATTAACCGAGGCTAAGTGGGGCATGAACAGCCCCCTTCAAGTGCCACACTTGTGGAGAAAGACCAGGCGTTTTGCCTCTCTTTTTCCCGCCTAATCTCAGCCATCACAGTTATTTAAACAGCAAAGTTGCTTCTTTCTCAAATTTCATAACAAATATTTAAAACGGTGCATTGCACCAAACATTGGTTAAATGAGACGGTTGAAAGTTATGCGATGCCAGTAGGAAGCATATGTCCTTCCTTGGCAAGACTTCTCTGCATTCTGCCTACAACAGCTTATTAGATCGAATGGATCACATTCCCACTCATGCATTGGTAAAGACGAGATTCAATGATGACCAAGAAGCAAATAGTCAGCGTATTTTCCGCTTTTAGGTAGCTGACGGGAATGAGAGAGATGTTGCTTCACTCCCTGATTAGCGCAAAACGTCACTCTGGCCTGACATTAGACAACGTCATGACCCCATGCACAGAGAAGGTGAACGAGAGATGATTAGAGAAAAGTGAAACTCCCACCAAGTTTATGATGACTAATTGGATGGAAGGAGTGACTAACTTTGCGTCTTTTCGAATCATTCCTTCACCTTTTGCAATTTGAATGTCGTTTCATGTAGCTTGCCTAAATGGGACAGTTTTTATTTAACAACTTCTTCCTCTTGGGGATAACTCCTCATTCAGAAGACAACATCTCGAGTGAAGCAATGAGCAGTGAGAAGATTTGAAATAGCCTTATCGGCTCCACCATATCACCTAGATTTTACAATCTCCCATAGACGCACCCACTAGCTCCTCCCTCTTCCCCTCCCTTCACCTCTATCGAGTCCCATTCTTCAGGCTTCTTATCCCATCCCATTCTCGTCAGTGCCCGGGTTTCATTTCTGTCCAATCTACGTTCCTCTCAGATACTATAAATATCTTTTATAACCTACCACCTCCATCGCTAAACTTGCTGACTTGTCCTTGTGGAGAACTTTAGAATCAAAAAGAAGGAAATCCAATAAGAGTAATCTGATTGCTAAAGTGTGCTGCACCTTGAATTGTCCCTTTTGCTTACTAAAGGGAAGAGGAACAAGGAGGAAAGCCAACGGAGGGTGACGAATGAGGACTGTAGGAGAGCAGGGGGACACAGCCTTCCATCATCTCATCCTTACCAGTTCGCTCCTTAATTCTGAGTTGTGTCCAAGGAAAAAGAGGTAGATTTCTCTCTATAGTTAGACCTACCAGTTAATAACTGTATTTGTAAGGGATCAACAGACCACAAGAGTCAAAAGCGCCATTGAAAAGCTACTCTTCGAATTGCTCACCTTAGGAGGGTGAGTGATCTAATTGATAAACTTAACTGTGAAATTCTTCTTGTCTCCCACAAGTCTAGCAAGGTTCCCATCGGACACCACCTCCAATCCCATCGGACCATGCCAGACTCCCAATTTCCAACCTCGGATGTTTCGTTACATCTTCCAGGGGAGAACTACTTAACTGTTACCATTGGTTAGATAAACAAAAGTTGGTTCTTTACTTACCTATCGAACGAATTTAGAAGGAGATTAAGCGCCAAATCCACACATGTTGGTAGGACAAATTCTCGGCCATCCGACAATTGTAGACGCGTTTGCAACTTCTCCACCCTTGAGAAAGCGGATGGTGGGGGTTGGGTTCTAGGTGGAGGCACGCTCCCAGGAGGGCCACATTCACGCTCATTGACTGGAGGCGTCTCCAAGGTCGGATTTACCGGACATTGACGAGGACATTCACTTCCCTTCTCACTTTTGCTCTCATCGCCTCGGCTGTGTTTGTTGCTTGTAGCACAGAGCACATTGGACATGCATTTGATTGCGCTGCGATGGGTGGGGGTTTTCTTTGACCTTGGTCGACTCTCAGAGAGGGAGGTGGTTTCGGTTACTGACTGGATTTGAAGTGGAAGACAAAATATGCAACACCTTTAGACAACTATCACCGCTTCCCTATACTGGCTGCCTATTAAAGCTGTTTGATGAAGCAATGGGCGGAGGTGAGACACGCGATCGACGCGTCCACATAAAATGAATGCATTAAACTCAATTTTAGTACGGAGGTTATAAAGTGGCGACATTTAAAAACTGAGTGCTGACTACCAAGGTGTCTATTGACAAAATGTGGGATGTATACTGTGGTGGTAGGGATGCAAACATCATGGGTAACAATTTATTCTCAACCTGCTTAGTACTTATTGGGATTTACTGTCAATTAACTTAAAGTAAAAGGTAAGCGGGTTTAATTTACCGTTTGTTGACCAGTGGTGCCAGCCAGTGTGGAATCCGAAGTACAGGATTTCGTCGGTGACTGTTGAGTGGGCATTCCACTTCTCACCATTCCTGCACTCGTGTCTATTGTCTTGACAACATCGGGTTGACTGGCCAACGCATCCCATACACGACAGTATAGAGTGGTGAGACAGTTAACCATTTGTGCCACGTCCATCACTCTGCCATCGCACCCCTCACTGCAAAGGGGTGACGAAAGACCATGACGTGCAAAAGTCTCCGTGGCCACATTCAGCGGAACCTGATCGACTGGAAAAGGGAGAAAGGGAACGCAGAATGCATTAATCACCACATTGAGCATGTTTTTGAAATAATCTCTCCTTGCGCCGTTGTGTTCGTGACGGTAAGGAATCGGAGAAAATAAAATCCAAAAGTGATGGGGGAAAGGCGGAGGCAAGAGTGGTGAGGTGTATGCTGTAGGTAGCATTCACTTTAAAGCTGAACAATTAATTTTGCAGATTATTATAAAGAAGACAAAGGAGTGAATTATATTTAGGCTAAATTTGCCTTACAGAAAGGCTTAAAAGAGACTCCTACCATGTTGCCACTTACCATGGAGCACAAGAGAGATAGATGAAAAGTCTACCACAGTAGGGTAGGAGAGATAGAAGGGGGAGGCAAAATAAAATCTCCCAACCAATGCAGTTTATAATCTACTTCATTATTTAAAAGCTTGCCTACAGCCTTACCAAACGTGAAAAGGAATCTCTATCCGTGGGCATACGATCGTGGAGGCGTAAGCCTTCAAAACTATGTCCATTGATTAAAAAACAGAACATCTTGAAACATCTTTAATGTGATTAAGTACAATATCTTTCAAAATTTTTTTTTACTGTTTGTTCCTTTTCAAAGTTGTGAGCTTGACTGTGCAAGGAGGGCGGCATAAATAAGCAATGAGCGAAGGAGCTCGCATGCGTAGAAAAGTTGGCGTTTCCGCGTAGCCCGTAGGTATGACCTATTTAGGCACAGACAGGCATAATCCAAATGGGTGAGTAAATGGGTTTCTTCTGTCAGTTCTTCGATAGAGATTTGTAAAGCGTAGTTGCCTAAGTGTACTGCTAATGTGTTTGAGAGCACTGAAGCTTGACTGTCGGGCAATTCATTTTTTAACGCGGCTCCAGAGGTGCAGAACCTAGTCTCTTGAAACAACCTGTTACTTGTGAAACGGCAGTTGACCTTCCGATCAATCTACACCACACAACTTTGTAAATAAGATTTCAGGACAAGTCAGAGGGCGGAATGGAGGGAGTGGTGTAACAATTCATCATCAAGAATATTTCTACGATCACACCCAATGGACCTAGACAGACTGAAACCACACAGGAATTGTACGGTGAGGTAGGTTAAAAGTAATGCTACACAAGCCGTCCCTCTTTACTACCTAATTTCGCAGTTGAAACCTTTAAGTACTTCGAATAAATTACAACCTCATAAAACTCAACTGCAGCAGTAAAGAAGCAGTAGTCTTTCTAGAATAGAGGCGTACGGTACACCCCGAAGAAGACATCGGGCAACCAACGGCATTTTCAAACGATCTAATACCTTAACAAATCGATGAGCAAGTGACAGATGAGGCCCCGGTCCATCCATTCCAAACAAAATCACTTTTAATTGGTTCAAGGGGAATCTAGACAAGCCATGGAGGGGAGGCATTGACTCAACTTCAGTCCTTGATACTGATCGGTCTTCCTTCCTCCCCTCTCCCCCTCCCCCCACTCAGATTATGTCCAAATGATGGGGCTCAACACCCCCCACCTTGAGGGTCAACAATCATATGATGATGTAGAAAGGCGAGGAGACAAAAACGGACCGATAAACCTCAACAAAGGCGATTTTTCAGCCACACTTTTTTTTCAAAAAGTACGAAAATTCAAATTTTAAACGACCCTGACAACGTAGGAGAATTGCCAAATGAAATCACTCACAGAAAAGTTTCAATTGCAGCTGACGAATTTTAGCAGCAGTTCTGTAGGCAAGGAAACGGATTGTGTTACATTCATCCATTCTCTGCAGTAACTCAATCATAAGGGGATGATCCCATTGCGTTTCTTGGGTGGCATGGCTAAAGAAAATCCAACGTAAAATCAAGGCGAATCCAAGGGCGGCTTAACTTTACTCTTCAACTTACTTCTTGTAATAAGGTACTTGGTTTCCAGAAGGCAGGAGACAACGTTCCCATGGATATGATACTGCAAGCCCAAATAAACAAACAAACGGTTGCTAGATTTAAAAGAGGAGTCTTGAGACGTCACTCATCCAGTAGGTAAGGCGGCCTGACAGATTTGGCATTTACATGGCTTAAATATAGGCCATAATTAATCTTCGATGGTTAACTTCGATGAAGGAATTTTTATCTTTATTTCATGGAAAGTAGAGAAGGAGGGAGATAAAAGGTTGATAAATATACCGAAATAATCCTAACTGACGTGGTAGGTTTAATTAGCTGAATTTATTGCATGCTACTAACTAGAGTATATAAGTAGGTAGCGAAAACGGTTCAATATCACCTGTTCGAAAAGCCTGTAGCCAACATTCCGACGGACTTTTTGGTCGAGGAATAGGCGCATTGCTACCATTGGTCGTCACAGCGTCAAGATGGTCAGAATTTAGTAAATGCTGTGGAGGAGATCGCAGAGTCCGTTGGAAAACCGGCACAAGAGCAGGCGACGCACCTGAATCCACACCATTTACAGAGGGCAAACGGTTCATTCCCTCATTCGCCTCCGATCGAAGACGCTCTAAGCTGAAGGCAGACAAGAAGGTCCAGAAGACTATACTTTACGACTAATTGCCCACCTTTTAGGAGTGAAAAACACTAAGACCTGTGTTGGCTGCGTTACAGCGAAAAGTTGTGCACTTTGTCAAAAAAAAGAAGTTAGATTAGCGCAGACGCCCTGACACTGTGACAGTATTAAATCATTGCTTCAGCCAGTAATTTGCCGTAAGAGAACATGGAGAAAAAGCTTTGAAAGGTAAAAAAATTGTTACCTAATAAAAGAAAGTTGGACCATCGACGAAGATCCAAAAGGAGGACGCATGGACCCTAGGCTGAATGGCGCTCTATACTACTTAAATTGCAAATGGTAGTTTAAACCAAAGCTGAGTTTATTAAAGATGGGAGTTTATGCAAACCTACGCCTTTAGCTCTACCTTCACAAAAAAATGATAGTAGAGGAAGAAAGCACAATTTTCTGGTTAGAAATCAATGGGATGGCACTTAGAGAAGCGCCCAAATAAACTGATTCAGACTCCATAAATTTTCTCATTGTTATGCACAGGAGACTTCCGTCGCCTTTAAAACCATTGGTAGGACAGTAACACTTACTTATATTTGTTGGAGCTAATGCATAAAGGCGCTTCTGGAAATAAGTATGGCTAATTATTGCTGTTTTCTTTGAGGTAGGGGAATAGGTGGAGAAGACGTTAAGACGCCTTTCCCTCATATTGCACCAATGCTGAAATGTCACGCAAGCTCAAGAAATGGGCATCGAACTCAGTGACTGGTAAGGAAAAGTCTTCAATCCTGCCCATGATTTTTTCCTTTTGTGCTTTCAAAGTAGGCCTCTTCGTGAGGAGTAAGAAATTATAAGTAGGAATCCCACCATTCTGTCGGCCTTATTTTGAAATGGAGCAACTTACCCAATTTTCAGTCCATCTAGTCTAGAGATGAGAACATGGGAAATGATAGTGCCATCGTCACTTAGACACAACGCCTGACCATCCAAGCCGGCAATCGCATGAGTTACGGATGCAAATGTGTCCCACAGTATCTGTTCAGAGAAAAGAAAACCACTTAAGAGGCAATATGGAAAAAGGTTAAAGTCATGAGCTGGAAAGGGCCTTAAATTCTATAGCTTCATTTGAACTGTCATGGGTGCGGATAATCCTCCCCTTCTCCTTAATAAGGGATTTTATTTTCTTTTCCAAAGCAGATTACATCAAGTTCGGTGGGAAATCGTGACTACAAGTCTACCTGAAGTGTTCGTTCATCTGTGGGGTAGGCGGGATCTTGGGCCATAAGCACTTTCTGGGCTGCATCCAACTCCCTTTCAGCGTCGTCCAGTACTCGCTCGAAAACAGTCAGTTTCTAAATGGAAACACATTGAATGTCAAAGGTCAGTCAATAAAAATTAGTAATTTAAAATTATATTGCGTCAACTTTTTAACCTGAAATGCTCTATCAAGCTGTTGTCGATAGGCCAACATGGAGCGATTCAGTTCAGTCCAATGTTTATCCAGATAACTCAGGTGGCGTCGAATTCGTCGAACAACTCGTTTTGTGCTCATAACCGATTCATCCACATCACACTTGCCGGGATCAAATTCAGATCCGTCGGATTCCCCTAAAAAAAGGATTTAAATAATTTGTTCCTTTTCAAATCGTTCAAATAAAGAGTTGGACGGCTTGGCAAGATTAGACGGTTGTACAAGTTTGCACGACTGTCTTTCCAAAGAACGTCAAGTAGCTACAGAAGTCTTCCTTCTAGGAGTGGAAGACATTCCA